TATAAAGCTATACAATCCTTTAAATTAAAATTTGAAAGTCTTTACCTCTTCCATTGTTTAAAGCAGATGTTTCTAACATTTTTCCATACTTTAATTTGGAATTTAGCTGAATGAATACCAGATTTAGAAATATTAACAAAATTAAGATTACAGATTTTGCTCTTTCCATCCAAAGGAGGATATTTATGTCTACAATCCTGTAGTGCAAAAAGACTACAGAGAGCAAAATAAGCACAATATGTCTCACACACAGCAATTTTCTATAGGTTCATTACTTGGCTCAAAGGACTTTAAGAACTTTCAACATGAATTCCAAGCATGATGCTTGAATCCATTCTCCTACATTCCAACTAAGTGGCTGTCCAGCCCAAGCTTGATGGGCTGCAATCCCAGATCCTGCGTTTCAGCTCCTCGTATCTTGGTTAGAAGGTTCCTCTAGACCAGAGGCATTGACTCTACTCAACACTGCCTCTCTCATTACTTCATCTGGGGTGTTATCTCTTCAAATCTCTTCCTCTTCTGAAGATGGGGAAAAAAGAGTACTGATCCCCTAACATCCTTTTACAGATTTGGTAACATATTTACAAGTCATGTAGAACTCACATTCTTGACATGTTGGCTTTTGTGATATATTTACTATTAATCTATCAAGTGAATTTCATTTGACATCACGTTGTATTTCCTCCCTGCTCCAAAATAGGTGCAAAAGAACTTTGGCATTCAGCTATGTAAGTGTTAAGTTTCTTCTTGTAAGCAAGCCTTTCCAACCTAGTCTTGGCCACTCGGCTGTCTAACAGGCCCCAGGGGACAGTTGTGGCCTCTGATGTGGTGTAGGCCTGGAGCAGGCACTTCTCATTCCCACACATTTTCTGGTCTAACTGGCATGTATCCATTGCAATGGTGTTTTTATATGATGGCCAATGCAGGACAAAAGAATTGTATTTTGTTCCTAGCACAAATTTGAATCACTCTGCCAGGTGGTGTCAGAAGTGACTTAGCTAGTAAAATTAGCCATCTGCCAAATACCTGTAAATCAATTGTAGCATTTATAAATTTGGCAATTCCTCAAGATCTCTTCAGTCCCTCCAGTTTTATTCTGTGGCTAGCACTCTTAGAGTTTGAACTACAGCTCATGTTTCTGACTAGTCACTGCCACTAACAACAGGGGACTACACTTTTTCCTTCTGATTGGCCAGCCCATCCTTAAGAAAGTGTTGTCTAGGGCTGGGGCAATGGCTCCGGAGAATAAGCACTTGCCTGGCAAGGCACAAGGGCCTGAGTTCAATCCCCGGTTCCACACAAAAATAAAATAAATAAGAAAGTGTTGTCTAGCAAAATCCAGTCTGGTTCAGCATCAGAGGCTTCAGGAGGGATCTAGAAACCATTTCTCTACTACAATTTATTCTTTCTCTGATCCCAAGTCCATATCCATCTAATGTATTACAGGCAAGCATTCTAGCCCCAAATTACCAATTCTCTTGCCAACTTTGTGCATTCTTGAGAGACAGAATGGCATGATAAAAGCTGGACTGCCTCAGTTTGAGTTCCAGATCTCCTGGCTTTAGTGATCTGACCTGTGGTTTAAACAAATAAATACTTTAAGAAGTTTTGTTTTTGTTTTTGTTTTGGCAGAACCAGGGATTGAACTCAGGCCCTTGCACTTGCCAGGCAAGCACTTATTCTACTGAGCCATCTCCCCGGCCCTAAGAAGTTTTAATGGAACTGCCAGATAGCTCAGCAAACTAAAGCGCCTGTTTCAGCAGAGTGCAGCAGCCAGCTTCGACCCCTGGCCTGCTGTGCCAGCCTCGCCCCCGGGGTGCACTGACATAGTGAGACTGGGCATGGTGGTACGCGCCTGTAATCCCAGCTCTTAGGAGGCTGAAAACAGAATCACTACAAATCCAATCTACGTAGTGAGACCCTGTACACCCTGTTGGCCTTGCCCTAAATTAAAAAAGTTTTAGTAACTGTATTATTTTAAAATTGTTTCTTTAAGAATGTTATATTCAATTCCCAATGTGACTTAGGTCAATATATTTCCGAAAAATGATGTGGTGTTTGGCTTGAGCTCCACCTGGTGGTTCTACAGTAATTCTCTGCATAACACAAAAAGATAACACATTTCAGAAAGTAAGCTATATATATAAAAGATTAAAGGACTACACTATACTTTTAAATTTATTAATCTGGAAGAATAAAGTGGCAAAGAAGTTATCACACCCCCGCACTAGTTGTGGAATGCAACCCTAAACCTCCTGCCAATGTTTGAGATGGGACAAATCCTGACGTCAGTACGGTTCAGGAACTCAGCGCCATAGAGTTATTCTCAATGCTGTAGCCACCCTGACACTCAAGAACATGATTCGTGGGAAAGTTTTGGGGTCATGGTTTGTTAACTTTTCAATTAAATTCTGAATGCACAAACTTTGATTGGACAAAATTCAGGGAACATCTAACATCAGAGGCCCCGATGAGAGCGCAAAGCTTCGACCACTGGAGTTAACTGCCATATAAAATAGGAGCAGATACCTGGCACAGGCTTTCACTTCAAAGAAAACCCAGTAATAGCAGCCCACTATGCCAACATTGAAATGAGTGTCAAGTGGGTAACATCATTAAACAATTCCTGGGGTGAAATAAAAGGTAATTTTAGTATTGTCATGGGCTTACATGGTAACGTTTTATGAGTAAACATTTATGTACCTAGCCCCCTTTCCCTCACAGAAGTTATAGTTACTTACCACCATACTAAAACGGAGAACACAAAAGACATCTCTCAGATTACACCTTGTTTTTGGAAGTGCCAGGGATCACCTTCAGGGCCTCTTGCATGCCAGCAAAACCTCTGCAGCTGAGCCACCTCTCTAAGCTTTTCCGAGCTTCTTTTCAGAAAATTTGGTAAAATTATTCACTAACTGTTCAATGAACTACTGAGTAAACTGAGGAAACTTTTTATATTAAAATAATTCCAATTTTATTGGCATTAAATTTTATAGAGTGCAGTCTCCTACAGGCTTTGGTTTACCCTGATCATCTGTATCATGCCCAGCCCAGCAGTGTTTGTGTGGCTCAAGTTTGTTACCTCGTGGCCAAGTGACATTATAATACATCAGATCTTTAGTTTGTTTTCCTGTTTAGTTAACAGGCTGTTCTGGGTGGACACACAGCTCTCAGCAATGTAAGTTTGGAGACTTTATTTTGATCCCTGTGTCTCTTCTACCTGATAAAATCCCTAGCACCTGATAGGTACTCAATAAATATATTTCAGTGAATTTCACAAAGAATGCTAAATTTGGATGGCTTAACTACACCTAAATTAACAAATCACAGGACAGATTAACTATGACTGCAGTGGTTATGATAGTGGTTTTTGTGTTTTTCTAGAGGGGAGGGGTTGAGACAGGGTGTCACTTTGTAGCACAGGTTGGCCTCAAACTCAGTGATCCTCCTGCCTCTGCCAGGGTCACAGATATGCACCCTCATACCCACACACAGCAGTATCTTAGTACTCATCTTTCATCTGTTCCAGGAGACAACTGGTACCTGAAACAAGCACCAAATTATTTTAGCTGGAAAGAGTACTGAGTCAAAAAGCATTTGACACCAACATGTGGAATTCGTGTGTCAAGTACAAGTACAAAATTTTTGTATCACAATGTGTTGAGTAACAAGGTAGGGCTGATTTGATTGTAGTAATGCATTCCCAATAGCATGCTATGTTATGTCTCAGAAAATTAGTAACAGTCAAAGCTGAGGCTCTTTAGTGCTAGATTTTTTTCCTTTTTGGTGTGGTGGTAGTAGGATACAAGTCCCTTTTTTTGTTTGGCAGAACCGAGGACTGAACTCAGGCCCTTGAGCTTGCCAGGCAAGCGCTTATTCTACTGAGCCATCTCCCCAGCCCCAGTGCAAGATTTCTTCATAAATTTTACTTATACTATGCTAATACTTACTATGCATCTTTGAAAGCAGAGCATGACAGTCTAAGTACATGCTTAGGCAACCACAGGGACCAGGGTTCAATTCCCAGCACCACATGCCATGCCAGCCCCACCCCTGGGTACACTGAGCCAGCCACTGAGACCGGGAACGGTGGTACACAACTGTAATCCAAGCGCTGGGGAGGCTGAGACAGGAGGATCATTACGAGTCCACGCTGTGTAGTGAAAGCCTATACCAAATATATTAAAAAATAATAAATTACTAATTTTCAGGAAAAACTGAGTTTAATTTCCTAAAAGAACACTGACTTGTATTAGTATTCTACCTAAAATGTAAAATGAAAAATTTGTTCTCTACTATTAGAAAAAAATCCAAGAATATATAAAAGATCAAACTTCACAACCTATACACAAAATCTTTTATTCTGAATTATACAAAACCAACACTCCAAACAAGTACTGCTTATGAAATCTGTTGTATTTTTGTTTGTTTTTGTGGTACCAGGGATTGAACTCAAGATCTTGTGCTCGCCAGGCAAGTGCTTATTCTACTGAGCTATCTCCCCGGCCCTACTGTTGTATTTTTAAATGATCTGACTATACATGAGCTTTTAGAAAATGAGTTCACTCAAATTTTTGGTCAATACATCATTTACTTGACTATAATTTCCAAGTTGTACCAACAATTACAACTAGGTTAATACTT